TAAGTTCTTTATACGTGTTGGATACTAAACATTTATCTGATATGTCATTTGCAAATATCTTCCCCCATCTGTCAGTTGCTTTTTAGTTTTGTTGATTGTTCCTTTTGCTGTGCAGAAGGTTTTTGTCTTGATGAAGTCCCAATAGTCCATTTTTGCTTTTGTTTCCCTTGCCTCTGAAGACATATCAAGTAAGAAGTTGCTGCAGCCAAGGACAAAGAGGTTGTTGCTTGTTTTCTCCTCTAGGATTTTGATGGTTTCCTGTCTTATATTTTGGTCTTTCATCCATTTTGAGTTTATTTTTGTGTATGGTGTAAGAAAGTGGTTCATCTTTCTGCCTATCGCTGACCAGTTTTCCCAGCACCACTTGCTGCTGAAGAGACTGTCTTTTGTCCAATGGATACTCCTTCTTGCTTGGTCGGAGATTAGTTGGCCATATGTTTGTGGGTCCATTTCTGGGTTCTCTATTCTGTTCCATTGATCTATGTGTCTGTTTTTGTACAAGTACCGTGCTGTCTTGATGATTACAACTTTGTAATATAGCTTGAAGTCCAGAATTGTGATGTCTCCAGCTTTGGTTTTCTTTTTCAGGATTGCTTTGGCTATTCAGGGTCTTTTGCAGTTCCATACAAATTTTAGAATTGTTTGCTTTAGCTCTGTGAAGAATGCTGGTGTTATTTTGATAGGGATTACACTGAATGTATAGATGGCTTTGGGCTGTATCAACATTTTAACAATATTTGTTCTTCCAATCCATGAACATGGAATGTTTTTCCATTTCTTTGTGTCTTCTTCAATTTCTTTCATAAGTTTTCTATCGGTTTCAGAGTATAGATCTTTTGCCTCTTTAGTTAAGTTTATTCCTAGATATTTTATGGTTTCTGTGCAATTGTAAATGGATCAATTCCTTGATTTCTCTTTCTGCTGCTTCATTATTGTTATATAAAAATGTAACTGATTTCTGTATGTTGATCTTATATCTTGAGAATTTGCTGAATCCATGTATCTGTTACAGCAGTTTTTTGGTGGAATCTTTTGGGTTTTCCACATAGAGTATCATGTTGTCTATAAAGAGTGAAAATTTGACTTTTCCTTGCTGATTTGGATGCCTTTCATTTCTTTTTGTTTTCTGATTTCCAAGGCTAGGACATCCAACACTATGTTGAACAATAGTGGTGAAAGGGGACATCCCTGTCATATTTATTTAACTATTTTTTAAAATCTTGAATGAGTGCATGTTAAATGTGTGTTGAAAGTCTTAAAAACTGAGGTGCTATTGATGTTTTAGGACATTTCAAAGAAGTGAAAAGCACAGTCACAAAGTAAGCAACAAGGAACTGAGCTTGCAAAGCAGATGTTCCACCATTTGCTGAATTTTCGTTAATAAATTTCACCTTTTGAGTTGAGAAGAAAATAAGCTTGTTCTTCCTTACTGGTAACTTTTTGCAAATAATGAAAATGAACAAACCTCTCCAACTTTAGGGATGATCTAATGTCATAAATAAAAAGTATGCAACTTCATTTAAAAATACTCATTATCATCTCTACCTACAAATCCATTCTCTGGCCCACCAGGACTATTCTTTACTTAACAGTTAACTAGAGTTGAAAGTGTTCTCTTACTTGGAAAAATCTGGATCAATATATATTTAACAGATGGTTTCTCTATAGTCTACTTTAGTAAGCCTTCTAATTAATATATTTCTTCTAAACCATGCTTATGAAGCACCTTTCTCTGTGAGGATTCTTCTTTGTATTTTTTGTTGTGTTGTTTTTTAATATCAAGAATTCCTTGATCCAAAAAGGGGTCTTTCCTTTCATAAGTTAAAATTCTTCAAATTAAATTGAGTTTTTATATAAAATCTGTGGAATACAGCTGATCATTTTTTTCTATTTTTCTGGTAAAGAAATCGGGTCATTAAAAAATCATGGGCAAATAGATAATTGATGATATCAGGAACCTGTCTCCTGATATTTTCCTTACTTATCATTATATTACCATATATTTTTAATATTCTTTATCAACCCAAATAGCTAAATTCAAGAAGAACATCATATTTGAATGTACGGTCAGGGTTGCAATAAGGGTGAAACAATTTTCTCCCCAAAAGAAGCTAAATTGACTACAGGAGAGTATCACTCTATAGTCTTAGCCCCACTGGCTATATGTTTTCCTGAGCCACTCAGTTCAAACTAATTAAGCTTAAGCTTTGGAACATAATTCATTCGGTTATATAATGAAATGTGAACCATTATGTGTGTGTGTGTGTGTGTGTGTGTGTGTGTGTGTGTTGATCCAGATACACATAGTCATTTCAATAAAGTAATAATGGTGAGTAGAATCATAGATGCAAAATTGAAAAGCACCTTAGCAATGATCTAACCAAATCCTTCATGAAGCTCTTATTTATTACCATTCCTTACTGGTGGTGGCCCAACCTCTGTACAGTTTTACTAACATAGTCTCATTCTTTCCAGTCCTGGTGAAGTTTCCTTGTTATGAAATTATTTTTTATCCTGAGTAAAAACTTACCTCTGTAACTTTCATCTTAGTCCATGATTCCTTAAAGAATTAACCAACTTTAACCAATCAAAAAGTAAGGGTCCTGGAAGTCCCTTGTTTTAATGGGTAACATTTTTGTCTACAACACTTTTTCTATATTCTTTGGTTTCCATCACGACTAGCACAACACAATGGAGTAGACTGAAAGGGTCCAGGAACTAATGCTGATCTCCCACAGCCAGGAGATGGACCTGCTACAAACAAGAGGATGTGGAATCATTGTCTAATTCAGCGGGCAGGATGCAGAATCTGAGCAGAATGAACAACAAGTGACACAAAGAAGTCCTTGCAGGATGTCAGCAGCAGGAATGCCCATGACATTCTTGATATCTAAAGATACATATAGTCAAACTAGTATCACAAACTGAAGATGGTGATATTTATGACTACGTTGGCGAAGGTTAGGTCTCAATTTTGAAAACTCAGACCATCTTTGCAAATATAGATTTTGTGAGGACTGGATTTGTGTTCTTTGAAATGATGAGGAGTCTAGAAAATTTCCCCAATAATTTGAACTCTGTCCATTAACTACTTTTTTTTTTGAAAGAGAGAGAGACAGGGAGAGAGAGAAAGAGAGAGAGAGACAGAGAGAGAGAGAGAGAGAGAGAGAGAGAGAGAGAAAAGCAGAAGGAGAGGGAGAGAGGGAATCTTAAGCAGGCTCCATGCCCAATGCAAGCCTGACACAGGGCTGGATCTCACCACTGTGCGATCATGACCTGAGCCTATATCAAGAGTCAGACGCTTAACTGACTGAGCCACCCAGGCACCCCTATTTAGTATCTTTGACTTCACTTTCTCATAAGTTTCTTTCACTTTCTCCTAAAAATCAGACACACTGACAAGCTGTGCATCAGTTGAGGTAGATTAGTTCTGTTAATAAAAGGAGTTTCCTCATAACACTGGTGACTAGTGTTCCCTGCGAAGACCTTGTTGCCTTAAAAAGATTTTCCAATTGTTGAAAAATATTTTATTAAGCTAGAAATTCAACATGGTATTGAAGTGACTGGTGCTTTGATTTGTAAGGAAAGGTCAGGATGATGAGACACTGGAAAGAATAAGGAGTCCAGGAACCAGAGTTCTTGTCCTGCTTTTGTCTCTAGCTCTTTCTGTCACCTTTGGTCACATAGAATATTAGAATCCACGAATACAAAGGGAACTTAAAGAGACATCTGGTTTACCACTGTGGCCAATTTAGCTTTCTCTCAAACTATAGAGTTACTTTAAGCCAGTATCTATAGAATCATAACAACAGCATTTTAGAAACAGTATAAATAATCTTCCCCCAAGGAGCAATTATGGAAGTAATCACATCTGTGAGGAGAAAAGACATTTTCTTGCCTTTACATTTTTTTTGTTTTTGTTTTTGGTATTAATGATCAGGCTTTAAAAGATCCACAAAGAGAATGCAAACAATAACATTTAAGAGGGTAGTCATACAAGGAGTCCATTGCTCAGTTGTCTAGGATGAATGCTAAGATTGAGAAGGAGAAAAGGGACAGGGGCTGAGGTTGTTTATACATTTTTGATTAATTCAGATTTTTATCTTCTATTGACTACACTGTTTGAACACACACATTACAAACAAACAAATACATTTTTTCTTGTTACCAGACAAAAAAAAATGCATCTAAAAGAAAATGGTGGTTGGGAAATATGTGTCTTTACGTTGGCAGCACTCATATATCATAAGATAATGGTTTGGTAGACACTTGGGAAGGGTGGTGGGCACAGGTAAATAGGCCAAATTAGAATTCCCTAGGATTACCGGCAATTTTAGGGCACCGGACGCTGGAAGATTGCACTTTTGCAAAGATTTACTTCATAAATTAAATTTTATCATATTTCATGACTTTAAGCCAAAAACCAAGTAATACAAATCTGGAATTTAAAAATTTATCAGTGTGCAAAGAGGGGCCCCTACTATGCACAATGGCACTGTGTCAAAACATCACTCACTTCTGGATATACACTAGAATTTAGGAATGGAATAATTCTTAAAATCCCTCCAAAATTTAAGAATTCTTTTTGGTTAAGTAGTCAACACTATCCTGAAAAAATTGCCTCCATAAATGGTTTTAAGACAAATAATTAAGATTCACAGATATTTGGGCAAATAAAATGGTTGTCAACTGTTACAATTCCAATTTTTAAAGTTGGTGGTTATAAGATTCACCTTTTAAAGGGAATGATGAAAAAAATCACATTCTCTCTCATTTTCTTTTGAATACAGTGAGAGAATGGGAAGGACATGATTGATGTGAAAGTGAAAAAGATAAATGTATTAATTTATTTTAATTAATTTAATGTCAATCAATTGTAGGACCATAAACCATTACTTTTTTAGTGTGGGTTTTAGGATATTCAATTGCAAATAGATTTTTTTTTAAAAAGCTGAAAGTAAAAACAGGAAATAATTGCAGCTAATTAGTCCAAATCTTACCTGAGGTTGCTTTTTGTTCTCTTTTCTTCTCCACTCTCCCTGAAATGAGAAGTGGCAGGTCAGTTACAGAGTGGGTCCATGAGAACAAGGTGTAACTAAGAGGAGACCCCGTTTATGGCAATTTCCAAACATAATCACTCCTCCGCTGTGCCCAAGATGCTTCTAGAGATGACGGGCATGGGCATAGTTGAAGGGGATGAAAAATGCTCTCAATCCAATTTATGAAAACCAACAATAAATGAGGATGCATTAAATAAAACATGCTGCTGGGTTTTAAAAATCTTGTTAGTAAGAGTCATTTACTCAACAATAAACTTACAAGGATCAAATCCCCATAGCACAAACTGTGGGGATAAACACCCGAGTTAAATAAGATCAAGGCCTCTTACAACCTATTTGGGGAGATAAAGGACAGACAATGCAATGTGAGATGAGATGTGCCCCAAAAGGTACAAACTATTTAAAGATATGAGAGGATGAAGTGATTAGTTTAGGAAATAAAGGGGTGCCCTCGAAGTTAAGGAGAAAGTGATATTTGATTTGGGCCTCAAAAGATACATGTGATCTGGGAAATTTGAAACAGGGAAAGTACTGGTGATCATTAAAAGAGATAGTATGGGTTATACAAGACAAGGCTATTTGAGCAAGTGCCATGTTTAAAGCTTGCTTTAGGAACTATGGTTTTGCATAGATGGCTATCTTAGAGCTTAGGCAAGAGATGATGGACTGAGCATGGCAGCAGGAAGAGGGAGGTGGGAGGGCAGGACTTAGAAGGCCCAGGGAGTTACAAAATGTGAAGTGCAAGGGAGAAGTAAAGGTCGAGATGAATGGCTATCTAGGTGACTTTGGGCATGGTGATGCAATGTGGGGGAATGGTAAAATGGGATGGGTGCATGGGGATGACTGGTTCAGTTTTAGACTTACTGAGTTTGAAGTCTTACAGAGACATGGGGCCCGGGAGAGAGATGAAAATCTAAGTTACGGATGCAGAAAAGGTCCATTTTGAGAAGACAGCTGGACCTGAGGTGGGGAATGGGAACAGAAAGGCAGGCGGCAGAGGGCGAGGCTGAGGATAGTGACCAAGAGAACAAAACTGCTACTTCTATTTTGAGATGTAGGGCCATGAGAAGAAGCAGCAGAGATCCACGGAGATCAACAGAGCACAGAACCATGCGCCACAGATAAATTTAGGAAGTATGGAGGGCACCCACAGCATCGGAATCTTCTGGGTTCATTGTGAGAGAACAGGTTTAGCAGAGCGGGGGCGGGGAACACAAGACACTCTGAGAGCCTGAGGAGTAGGGGGTGGTGAGGAAGACGAGGCTGAGGATATGGCTTCTCGTTCATGAAATCTGGCAGCCCACAAATGAATGAGATTCGGGCAACAGCCTGAGCAGAAGAAAACCCGGGCTAGGGGATGCTTCGTCATGGTTACAGGTTTAGATGAGGAACTCTGCTCAGGGCACTGCTGTGTGGCAACAACACCGTGGAGGTGAGAGCCTTGGTTTTGTGATGGGCAAGCGAGGGCACCCTCTGGCCATCGCTTTCTTGTCACCTTTCAAGATTTCACAGATGGAGCTAGTTACTGAGAGGGTGTGCAAAACACGCAAATGGCATGTAAACTTTATCTAAGTTTTTCTACCAGCCTTTCCTGTCTTTTAAAATCCTAAAACATAAGGTGGAGAATGTATAACCTTTTTCTCATGCAGCCGCCAAAAGCACAGAATTCATCTAACTGGCATTTTGATTAATGGCACATTCTATTCATTTAGGTGATTTCCAGAGGTCTTGTTTGATACGATTTATTTCAATGATTCAAACAGATAAATGACATGAGTAGTCCACTTAAAGGCTTAATTCATTACCAAGTGTGATGGAGGTACCTCCTCATTTAAGTTTTTTTTTTTTTTTTTTTTTTTTTTTTTTTTTTTTTTTTTTTTTTATCAGGCAAGCAACTGTTTACTATTTGATTACCAATTGTTCTATACTAGAGGCCTCAAATATTTTCACAAATTTAAAAAATGTTATTTGAGTCCTGAATTATAAAATGTTTTGAGACAAACATCTCTTTGGAAAGTCTTTAATTTGCAGAAGAATGAGTCATAAATTCTGAAAGTTGACAATGAGAGTATTAGGGATAAATAATATGGTGTGATACTCAGTCTCAAGATACTCCCAAAGACTACTGTCTTTCTGGTCCTCCTGGTAACTGTGTCCTTGTGTCGTGCCCTCCCACACTGATCTAGACTGACTTGTGTAATCAAGAGGATTTTGCAGAAATGATGGAATGTGACTTCCAAGGTTGGGCCTTAAAACCATTGTGGTTTCCATCTTGCTCTCTCGGATCACTCTCTCTGAGGGGAGCCAGATAATAGGTTATGGGGACATTCAAGTAACCCTATGGAGAGGCTCATGTGACAAGGAACTGAGGCTTCCTGCCAGCTATCAGTACCAACTTCCCAGGCTCATGAGCAGTCTGTCCACCAGCCTCATTCAAACCTTTAGATGGCCGCAGCTCTTGCTGACCCCTTGACTGCCGTTGCATGGGAGGCCCTGCCCCAGAACCATCCAGTTAGTCATGACAGAGAAAATGTATGACACACTAGATGTTTATTGTTGGTGTCAGCTGCTATGTTTTGGGTAAACTGTTTTACAGTAATTTTATTATGGAAGTCTAGGTTAGTTTATCACTTCCTACACCAACAGTGATATAACTGGTGGCAAATAAGTCAGTCTCCCTGACTTTCTTTCTGTAGAATGAGGATCAGATCCTGTTTCTCTGGAATGTGGTGAGGAGTAAATAATTCCATATGCAGAGCCAGCAAGAAATGGAAACTCACACAAGATATTGGGGTTCAATGTTTCAGAAGGGAGGCTGGAAGGCCTTGCTATAATGGTTTTTCCCTGAGACCTTAAATAGTCCTCTGCCCCTGTGTCATATGCAAGGGCTCTGTAAACTGAAGAGTGCTATATAAATGTTATTTCTTGGTTTTATTATGCTATTAGTTCTGTTACAGGAATCAATTTAGATTTCTCTTCTTAATTACATATACACTAGACAGCAAACTAGAAAAATAAAAAACTAGTTAAGACACCATGATGTTGATTAAGAGATACAGAGAATATTGCTTAACTGGAGATGACCCTCTAGGTTTCTTGTTTAGTCCCTTGTTATCTTGCCCCTCATTCTTTCAGTGTGCCCTTATACAAAGAGATGGTTCTGAGGGTGCCTGGGTGGCTGAATTGGTTAAGTATCTGATTCTTGGTTTTGGCTCAGGTCATGATCTCATGGTTTGTGGGTTCAGGCTCTGCATTGGGCTCTGTGTTGACAGCTTGGAGCCTGCTTGGGATTCCCTCTCTCTCTTTCCTGCTCTCTCTTTCTCTTCCCCATTCTTGCTCATGTGCTCTTTCTCTCTAAATAAATAAATAAATAAATAAATAAACAAACATTAAAAAAAAAAGAAAGAAAGAGATGATTCTGACACCCATATCTCTAGCTCCAAATCTACCTAGATTTTAGGCCTACTGGAAATCTCTATCTGTGTTTAATACGGCACTATAACACATATCCTGAACTTGAATCATTGTGTTTCCCCGCAGAACTGCTCATGTTTGGAGCTGTCCTCCAGTCTGCTCAGGCCCCCAAACACGAAGCCTCAGAGTCACCAGCTTCTCCCTTTCACTCAATGTCCACACCTAACACGATCCTCACCTCACTCCATTCTCCCTGTACAGGCCCTTGGATCTACACTCTCCTTTCTCACTGCCACTGCCCGCGTTCACAAACATGACACTAACTTTCTTCCTGGGGTTATTTTCTACACACCCGTAACTGATTTCATTGATTTTATGGATGGCTTTTCCGTACTGAGTTGGATCACTACTAAAGATTAAAATCCACATGCCCTAATGTGAAATTGATGACCCCGGAAGATTTGGCCACCACCTACCTTCTCTACCATCCCTCAAGCACCATACACAGCACTGGTCAGTTATGCCAAGAATCCCACCTCCCATCCCAACTCCCTGTGCCAGCTGTCCCTGCTTCCTGGAATGTCCTGACATGTCAGTCCTGCCTATCAGAACTCTGTTCATCCTTTAGAGCTGAGTCAGATGGCAGTCCTTCTGAGAAGTCTTCTGCTTTGCGCCACCCCAACTCTCCACTCCCTGCAGAATTAATCGCCCTCTGCTATGCTCGTTCATCCTTTATTTATACCTCTGCCACAGTACTAATTCCAACGTTTGGCTCATAATTAGTTGTGTGTCCCCCAACTGGCTTCTGTTAGGGCGAGGGGTGTGTACTTTACCCCTCTCTGTCTCCTCCTGCCTAGCAGAGCTGGGGACACAAATGCTTGGGATTGATTCAGCACACACAGAGAGTTATGAAATGCCCCAGCCCTCCTTAAAATGCTAGAGAACATGAAGCAAATTTTAGTACTGCCAACACCGAGTGCAAGTACAACCCAGAACAGCGCTTTTATCAGATATTTACACTACAACTGACACCCTAGAAAACTATATTAGAAAAGTGGGTGACAAAATAACAGACAGGCTTTCAGAATCATGAACATGCATTTTTCCTTAGCTGTGCTTTATTTTATCACAGATCCTAGTTTAAAAACAAAACATTAAAGTATGGTTTGCACCCTACTTCTCTTTAAACCTGGATGCGGCACTCCTCCTGTGAGAATAAAAATGGACAGTAATCTCCTAAAAATGGAATTTGTTGGGGAAAACTTTTCTTCTGAGAAAATGTGTTTAATTGAACATTAAAATTCCACCTGCGACGACTACTTATTTATATAAATGGAGCATTGATATTTTTAAAAGCTCTCTTAGACTTGAAGTTGTTGATTTTGTTCCATGGAGGAACATTAAATATGTATCAATTTACAGCACATTTCTGTACCTCAGTACAGAAGCAGTACCCTAGTCACAGTGATGGTTTCTGATCTTTTAAAACCATGGGCACATAAATGACAATCCAGTGATGTCTCACCAATAATGAGGAGGGGTGTTTGTATGACAAATCGTATTTT